GATACCACAGACATGTCAGTTATCATCACTATAATATACTCACACTGTACATCCACACTGATGGTGGTGTTGATACCACAGACATGTCAGTTATCATCACTATAATATACTCACACTGTACATCCACTGACTGGTGTTACTGTTGACACCACAGACATGTCCAGTTATCATCACTATAATATACTCACACTGTACATCCACACTGATGGTGTTGATACCACAGACATGTCCAGTTATCATCACTATAATATACTCACACTGTACATCCACACTGATGGTACTGTTGATACCACAGACATGTCCAGTTATCATCACTATAATATACTCACACTGTACATCCACACTGATGGTGTTGTTGACCACAGACATGTCCAGTTATCATCACTATAATATGCTCACACTGTACATCCACACTGATGATGGTGTTGTACCACCAGACATGTCAGTTATCATCACTATAATATACTCACACTGTACATCCACACTGATGGTGTTGATACCACAGACATGTCAGTTATCATCACTATAATATACTCACACTGTACATCCACACTGATGGTGTTGGTGTTGATACCACAGACATGTCAGTTATCATCACTATAATATACTCACACTGTACATCCACACTGATGGTGTTGACACCACAGACATGTCCAGTTATCATCACTATAATATGCTCACACTGTACATCCACACTGATGGTGTTGATACCACAGACATGTCCAGTTATCATCACTATAATATACTCACACTGTACATCCACACTGATGGTGTTACTGTTGACACCACAGACATGTCAGTTATCATCACTATAATATACTCACACTGTACATCCACACTGATGTGTGTTGACACCACAGACATGTCCAGTTATCATCACTATAATATACTCACACTGTACATCCACACTGATGGTGTTGATACCACAGACATGTCCAGTTATCATCACTATAATATACTCACACTGTACATCCACACTGATGGTGTGTTGATACCACAGACATGTCCAGTTATCATCACTATAATATACTCACACTGTACATCCACACTGATGGTGTTGACACCACAGACATGTCAGTTATCATCACTATAATATACTCACACTGTACATCCCACACTGATGTCAGTTGTTACTGTTGATACCACAGACATGTCCAGTTATATCATCACTATAATATACTCACACTGTACATCCACACTGATGGTGTTGATACCACAGACATGTCCAGTTATCATCACTATAATATACTCACACTGTACATCCACACTGATGATGGTGTTGATACCACAGACATGTCAGTTATCATCACTATAATATACTCACACTGTACATCCACACTGATGGTGTTACTGTTGACACCACAGACATGTCCAGTTATCATCACTATAATATACTCACACTGTACATCCACACTGATGGTGTTGATACCACAGACATGTCCAGTTATCATCACTATAATATGCTCACACTGTACATCCACACTGATGGTGTTGATACCACAGACATGTCAGTTATCATCACTATAATATACTCACACTGTACATCCACACACTGGTGGTTGTTGACACCACAGACATGTCAGTTATCATCACTATAATATACTCACACTGTACATCCACTGATGTGTTGTTGATACCACAGACATGTCAGTTATCATCACTATAATATACTCACACTGTACATCCACACTGATGGTGTTGATACCACAGACATGTCAGTTATCATCACTATAATATACTCACACTGTACATCCACACTGATGGTGTTGTTGACCACAGACATGTCAGTTATCATCACTATAATATGCTCACACTGTACATCCACTGACTGATACTGTTGATACCACAGACATGTCAGTTATCATCACTATAATATACTCACACTGTACATCCACACTGATGGTGTTGATACCACAGACATGTCCAGTTATCATCACTATAATATACTCACACTGTACATCCACACTGATGGTGTTACTGTTGACACCACAGACATGTCAGTTATCATCACTATAATATACTCACACTGTACATCCACACTGATGGTGTTGATACCACAGACATGTCAGTTATCATCACTATAATATACTCACACTGTACATCCACACTGATGTGTGTTGATACCACAGACATGTCAGTTATCATCACTATAATATACTCACACTGTACATCCACACTGACTGTTGGTGTTGATACCACAGACATGTCCAGTTATCATCACTATAATATACTCACACTGTACATCACACACTGATGGTGTTGACACCACAGACATGTCCAGTTATCATCACTATAATATACTCACACTGTACATCCACACTGATGGTGTTGTTGATACCACAGACATGTCCAGTTATCATCACTATAATATACTCACACTGTACATCCACACTGATGGTGTTGATACCACAGACATGTCCAGTTATCATCACTATAATATACTCACACTGTACATCCACACTGATGGTGTTGATACCACAGACATGTCCAGTTATCATCACTATAATATACTCACACTGTACATCCACACTGATGGTGTTGATACCACAGACATGTCCAGTTATCATCACTATAATATACTCACACTGTACATCCACACTGATGGTGTTGATACCACAGACATGTCCAGTTATCATCACTATAATATACTCACACTGTACATCCACACTGATGGTGTTGATACCACAGACATGTCCAGTTATCATCACTATAATATACTCACACTGTACATCCCACACTGATGGTGTTGATACCACAGACATGTCCAGTTATCATCACTATAATATACTCACACTGTACATCCACACTGATGATGGTGTTGATACCACAGACATGTCCAGTTATCATCACTATAATATGCTCACACTGTACATCCACACTGATGGTGTTGATACCACAGACATGTCCAGTTATCATCACTATAATATACTCACACTGTACATCCACACTGATGGTGTTGATACCACAGACATGTCAGTTATCATCACTATAATATACTCACACTGTACATCCACACTGATGATGGTGTTGACACCACAGACATGTCCAGTTATCATCACTATAATATACTCACACTGTACATCCACACTGATACTGTTGACACCACAGACATGTCAGTTATCATCACTATAATATACTCACACTGTACATCCACACTGATGGTGTTGCTGTTACCACAGACATGTCAGTTATCATCACTATAATAATCCGAGGCATAGTTTCGCATAGTTTCAGTTACCAACAATCCGACCAAGGTTTCCGCATAGTTTCAGTTACGGTTTCAATTTCAGGTTCACGGGTTTTCATATCGTTTCAAAGAGCTAAATGTAAACATTCTTCTTTATTTATATCATAAACTCTTGTTCAAAACAATATAAGCAATTTGTTATTATCATGACATTTACTAAAGAAAAACAGAATATATAATAAGATTCATTGTTTTATTTTCTCAACATGGTATGGATTAGCATTTAAGGCAAATAAAGATCATACATATAACTAGTAATATAGCACTAAAGAACAGGGCAAAACATGTTGGCATAACTCAATCCAGTTTTAGAAATCATATATCATTTATAAGAAAGTTGTAATTTTTTCATCAGTTAAACTTTCATTCACTTATTATCTTGAAATAGCATGTTAGATCACGTAGATCTGAATTTATTTCTAAAATCAGGCTAATGATGAAAAATAACAATAACATACAACTTAACACAGTGATAAAACATAGTTGCATCGGACATTTATTTGCACGCCTTGGCATTCAGCCACACACTCTATGTCACAACTATCGCCAAACATCCACTATGATATACAATAACAACATACGGCTTACAATACAAAAATAAAATAAAATTACATTATGAAATTTGAAAATAAATTCAATTAAATTGCAAGAGCTGGTCAGTGGGCCCTGTAAAGGGGCATCCTGGCGAGGAGATCCCTCTGTTACTTTGGTTGGATGCCTCATCCTCGTCCTCCTGTTGGCCTTGGCGAGAGCAGTGGAGGTGTAGATTCTTTCCAAGTCCAGTGTGTAAATTAGGTGGTATGCCATAAGCTTGCTGGACTCACAGACAAAGGGGCCGGAATGCAACTAATTGGCGTCATCTTCGTCACTCCACGACTGGTGATGTCATGTCTATGGTGAGTGTTAATGCGCTACCTTTTTCTATCGTCTATCTGGCCAATCAATAGATGCAAGTCTGTTTAGGCGTTGTGCAAGTTTCTGAAAATGGCAGGTTATAGCAATTACTAGGTTATTTTGATGAATTACACAAACATCAATCAACAAGAAACTGACAATGCCAAGGATGATTTAAAATGAGTAATCCACAAGTAACTTTGAATAAAGAGAACTAAATTGAACAATCACACTTTGCACTAGTTTTCTCAAAACTCAAATTATGCAATTCATCACACTTCATTGACCCGAATGTAATATCTTATTTTCTAAAGAGGGACACAGAATCTATACAAACTTTGCTCTGGAGTTACATGCTTCCCAGACCAGAGGTAGTAATATGTTATATATAATATCTGAACATTTATTGCATTTTTCTATGTAGTAATAATGGTACTAGTAATAGATTTTCATCAGCGTTGTGGTGTCCACCTCATTGATGTTGCTGGAATATTGCTAAAAGCGTAAAACCAAACTCAGTCAGGCAGTTGTATTGTTGAAGGCACAAGTATATTCACCCAGTAGTGACTGTATGTTTACACCATTCGTCTTTGAGGTGTATTTAGAAGTGAATAATACAAGGGCGAATGTTTCAGGATGTCAAGGTCTTTATTATGTGAAAACACAATGTTTGGATTGAATGCTTACACCTGGCGAAGGGGTAAGCATTCACTCTGAAGTTATATTTTCACATAATAAAGGAGTTGACATCCATAAACCTTGTCTCTACTCTATGAATTGGAAATAATTTACTACTTATAATGAAAGTCACTACAGATAGGTCAAAATTACCTTCACACATGTTTCAGCTGACCATCCTTGGTCATTAGTTATACAGTCTGCAGACTCATCATCAGCTGAAAAAAATAAACAATAACTCGCGTTACTTTTCTTTGCATTTCTCCATTCATTCATTTGAGGTTTAACAAACCCCAAACAATTGCAGCGACATTTATACCAACAAGCAAACTACAGATTTATCACTTTAAGGTTATGCAATGAGTAAGTGAGCGACCTGACATAAACATCCTGATGAATGAAGTTCAGTTATCTCATGTGACATAACCTTAGTATGTCACGTTATTATTGTAAAATCAAGGGGTCAGTTTACTGCCATTTCACACAGGTGTGAAGTTTATTTTGGTCAATTTGAAATCATGATTAAGTTACGGTTATTCAAATCCATTTGCAAATGTAACTTGAGTATGGTTCATTCTGTGAAAATGTATCTAAGGGAAGCATAATAATAAAATATTCAAAGTGAAATTGCGTCTATGTTTCATAGTACCATAAACACATACCTTCAGTTAGAGAGGGTGATCTTTTCTTCCAGGATTGGTCATTGACACGTTTCCTCTCAACAGCCTAAATGGATAAAACAAATCAATTAATATACAATCTATTTGCTATATTTTTTCAAAATTGTAGTATATTTTTTCGATAGACACTTATTTTACTTCACCAACCTTTGAAAATAGTTCGTGCAAAACTGTTTATACAGTCAGGGGACTTAAATATACGTCAGTCGGCAAAATTCTCATAGACTTGCATGCTATTTTAGTGTAGCTATGTAATTTTCATTAATTCAGTTTTCCATATTTGGTTGTCAAATTATGCAGGCTGTTAGGAAATAATCTTGGTCACAGATACATAATTTTCCGCATTGTAGTTACATGAGCAACATATATACAACATTGCGTATTCTTTCCCCATAGACCGCCATGTTACAAATTGCCATAACCATGACACGCATTGAATTGAAAATAAAACGGAAATTATGTCTTTGAAGCTGAGATGATTCAGAACCCATGTGCAAAATATGAACAATATCAAACGGATATCAAATAAATTCAAGATATATTTCTGGCTGCACCAAATTAACATGTAAGTCCGAATAATGCATAGTGGCGAATACCTATGGCCACTGGCTGTAATTCGATAGATTAACGATTACCAATCCGGATTATCTGTACGTAAAGTAAATAATTCATAAAACGTTGTTGACAACAAAACAAATTGGTCTTACCTGACAGGGTCGTGGTACTGCGAGTTTTCGCAGCCATTTCCATCTTTCTTTTCAGGTAGCGAATTCTCTCTTTCAGTGCTTTGAGGAAAACTGAGGCGGCTTTGAAAATCGCGACTCGCAAAGGCTCACGGGAAAAACACTTTGTTGTTGTTTTCAATCTAAATCTAACATTACAGTTTGACAATATCTTTCCGCGTTATACAACAAAATAAACATACACTATACACATAAAATGTCAGCTGTGTGTTTTATAATGATTTAGGTAGTCTCGCGTGGACGTGATCCGGTCGCCATTGTTTTGTTGTTTACATTGCCGACATCAAAGGGGACCGTGAAAGGTGGAAATGAGCAGATTGAATGTGAGTACCCAAAGTGGGCTTGTATGGGCTTAAGGGTCTTCTCATCGCATTATGGGCACTAATTGCTCCTCCTCAGTGTCAAGCATCAACATGTAGGCCTAGAGAAGTGAATAAATCTGAAAACATATTCACGTTACTTTAAAAGTCCTCATCGAGCTCCATGAGTCCTACTCATGAGAGATTGTGTTAGTGGCAAATAGGTGATTTTCAAAACCCTGTCAGAAGTAGGCAATATACGTTCTGCTGGACGTAAAACTTCACCAGGTAAGTAATTTACCTATTGAGCTCAAAACATGCACATGTATTAGACATGCTTATATCATGTTCATTCTTTTCAGTTCTACGTAAGATCTACGTACATTAACTGTATTATAACTTTACTTATCTAATTATATGTGATGTCAGCTCAATATATCTACGTGAGCGAGTTTAAGTATTACGCCGCACTCGGCAATATTCCAGCTATATGGCGGTATTTATCCAATTATACCAGTACATCTTTTTATCATTTTATTACCATTAAAACAATTATAACATATACTTTACACTCATAGCTTTTGTGTAATAATTTAGGTAATCAATTATTGAACCTCTTAGCCTTACAATGCATTGACACAAGTCACGTATAACATTTCTAAAGAATCATTGTTTCAATTATTTGATTTACAGATGCGTATTGTGGATCCACTGACTTGTTGGAGATTGACAAGAGGCTTGGCGTGGTAATCATTTATAGTTACACCATACCATGCTCCTAATTTCATTAAAGGAAATCTTAAAACAATATTTTTTATTCATCAGCATTTAGTCAAAAACAAGTAAACACTAAATAGATACATAAGAATACATTTCTTTATCTTTGTGAAAAATATAATCACTCAAAATGTAACAGTCATTGGATTCCAGTGTAACCATAAGTTTAACATATGTTTATATATGGGATTACACTTTCATAAGTTAAGATATGTTGATATGCTTTTCAGTTCAAGAAAAGACCCAGTTTTTCTGTCCGCTGCCAGTGGTTTGTTTCAAGGAAACAAGGAATAGTCTGGAATGGACGTGACAGTTTCTCATCAGGTTAGTCCAAAATACTTCACTTCATGGGTTTCATTTAGCGACTTCAGTTTGATCTATCCCATTGCTATCCATCATATATCAATAATGAATATATTTAATTATTGTAATTTGTTTGATTGGCATTTAGAAGTTGGTGACAAATAAAGAAAGTAAGAGTTTATGGATAACAACTTCTTTATTATATATATGATCGGACGTTTCAGTATGGATTCTTATACCGTTGTCGAGCAAAGAGTGTAAGTATTGTATACCAGATATGTAACTGTAACTGAAAGTGAATAAGTTATGTTACATTTTACAGTTTTTAAATTAAATTAAAGGTCACATAAAAAATAATATTTTATGTTACTATATTGCTGGGAATGTTTCCTTAGAGAGTTGATAAAACTAAGAAATACCCACGATTTTTCATTCATGGGAAATGTTAGGTTTTGTATGCTTTTCTCAGTTGAGTTGGTCATTTCAATTTGAATAAAGATCACATATATAATTATGTGTTACATTCAGTGTTTAAACATAATTAGTATCTATTTAAAATATGTATGTACCGTTTACATATGCTTAGATTTCAATTGGCGATTTGGTAGTAGATGTTACCTTGAATATGGTACAGTAACAGTAATAAATATTACAACAATTTGCTTCAGAATACTGGGTTGGCTGCTATTTTCTGGTACCAATCAATAAAATAAGTGACATGTCAAATGAAAGATACAATATACATGTATACTACATATCTTTCCTTTGTGATTGTGAAAAAATATTTTGGTTACATATACAAATTATTCGTTCTAATTATATAATTTCATTGTGATCAGATGTACCACTGTGCATGTTTATGAATATGTATAAATGTGTTACTTTGGCTGTTTTTGCAGTTTTACTAAGCATTGTATGTATTGTATTTGCAGGATGATGAAGAGTCTGTGTGGGATGATAAGGATGGCTTAGCGATGTTGTGCCAGACATCAACCAGGACTCTTCATATTCACTACAAATCTTAAGTAGAGCATACACCATCTGTTTTGCGGTTGTGGACTGGTTCAAGCCTTGTTGTAATCAACTTGGTTATATTTCCCCTTTCTGTGTGGCAAAACTCAGGCTCAACTCAAGGCTCTCGTCATATGTACCACATCAGAGGATTGTTGGCTGCTCAGTGTGAGTGCAACAGAAGCTTCATGGTTGTAAGCAAGTTGCCAAGTCTTTACTATGTGAGATTGTTAGTGTGTATATGTTAAGATACATTGAGACAGCTTCAAATGTACACTTCATGTATATGTATATGGGCCCATGACCTTTCATACAATAAACATTTGAATTTGAATTTGAAATCTGTTTTATAAATACCACAGCAAATATGTTATGCCTGCACTAGTAGACCTCATTTCATCATATGCATAAAATGTTGTAGGGTTTTGACATATTTGTATTTGCATATTCATACAGAATTTGTTTTTCTCCAATGCTGAAAATTCCCTTTTCATACATACATACATACATACATACATACATACATACATACATACATACATACATACATACATACATACATACATACATACATACATACATACATACATACATACATACATACATACATACATACATACATACATACATACATACATACATACATACATACATACATACATACACACACACACATTGTTGAGTACTGTTGAAATGTGAGCTATTCACAATAATGAAACAGATGAATCATAACAGTGCATGTGTCACTGTGTTTGTTGTTTTCCGAAGTACAATGTAATAAATTGTACATTCACAAGTTATGCAGAATGGTAGTGAGTGAGTTGCATAGTCACATCGGTAGCCATGTCGTGACTATGAAAGTCAGTAACTCTAAATTTGTAAATGTGTACATGAAATAAAAACAAACTTATATACTTACCTGTCTTGAAGGACAGTAAAATAACTAATCTATCACAAATGTACACTAAAACTGGCATGTAACCATAAACACTTTGCGGTACAAGTATAAAAATGAGCTATAGATTGCCAACACCTGAAGGTTGATCAACATACTAGGGACTCACTGACACGAACAGTACTTTTGCTTCCTGCATTGACCCTAACTGGATTCTGTAAACAGAAATTATCTTGCAAATGTAACAATAAGTAAATATAGTCCCCAATGGAACAGCACAAAGCTAATTATAAGTTTGCCATTTCATCTAAGCTGAAACCAACAGAAACCTAAGCGGAAACCTACATTGCAGTATCAATAGGTTTCCGCAATAGCGGAAACAAAGTCATTTCTCTTTGAATGTTTCAGCGAACTGAAACTAAATGGAAACGCATAATGATAGTTTCAGTTGTAGAAACTTGACGGAAACCTAGATTTGTTAGTTTCAGTTTTGTAAACTATGCGGAAACTCGCATTGTCTGTTTCCGGATACTGAAACCTAGCGGAAACCTACATTACCCAGTATCCGTTAGGTTTCCGCAAAAACGGAAACTAAGTTATTTTTGCTGTGACAGACATGTCCAGTTATCATCACTATAATATACTCACACTGTACATCCACACTGATGGTGTTGATACCACAGACATGTCCAGTTATCATCACTATAATATACTCACACTATTGACACCACAGACATGTCCAGTTATCATCACTATAATATACTCACACTGTACATCCACACTGATGGTGTTGATACCACAGACATGTCCAGTTATCATCACTATAATATACTCACACTGTACATCCACACTGATAGGGTTACTGTTCATACCATTGACATGTCCAGTTATCATCACTATAATATACTCACACTATTGACACCACAGACATGTCCAGTTATCATCACTATAATATACTCACACTATTGACACCACAGACATGTACAGTTATCATCACTATAATATACTCACACTGTACATCCACACTGATGGTGTTGATACCACAGACATGTCCAGTTATCATCTCTATAATATACTCACACTGTACATCCACAATGATAGTGTTACTGTTGATACCACAGACATGTCCAGTTATCATCACTATAATATACTCACACTGTACATCCACACTGATGGTGTTGATACCACAGACATGTCCAGTTATCATCTCTATAATATACTCACACTGTACATCCACAATGATAGTGTTACTGTTGATACCACAGAAATGTCCAGTTATCATCACTATAATATACTCACACTGTACATCCACACTGACAGTGTTGATACCACAGACATGTACAGTTATCATCACTATAATATACTCACACTGTACATCCACATTGATGGTGTTACTGTAGATACCACAGACATGTCCAGTTATCATCTCTATAATATACTCACACTGCACATCCACACTGATGGTGTTGATACCACAGACATGTACAGTTATCATCACTATAATATACTCACACTATTGACACCACAGACATGTCCAGTTATCATCACTATAATATACTCACACTGTACATCCACACTGATGGTGTTGATACCACAGACATGTCCAGTTATCATCACTATAATATAATCACACTGTACATCCACACTGATGGTGTTGATACCACAGACATGTCCAGTTATCATCACTATAATATACTCACACTATTGACACCACAGAC